AAAAAAAAAAAAAAAAAAAAAAGGGGGGGGGGGGGGGGGAGAAATAAAGACAGAGCATTTGTTCGCGTTCGTGGCCGCGGGCCCTGCGTCATTTTTCTCTCGCCAGCTATAAGTCGTAACGTGCAAACAAATTCACGTTGAAAGAGACGTTACAGAATTTCCACCATTAGTCAGGAGCGACTCGCGAGTTTGTCCCGCGTCATCTACGCTGGCATTACCGACGCTGCCTCCTCCTCGCTCCTCTCCCCTTTCCCGCGGTACGCAGAGCCGTGGCGTTGAATCTTTCGCTTGATCGTCTCAATGTCGCTCTTCAGGGCGTCCATCGACTTCATCGTTCTCTCCATCTCGTGCAGCACCGGCCTGGGTCGATGAACCGCCGCTTGACATTGACCGAAATCGCTAACGCACGTAAGCAGCAGATCTTACTGAGCCATCAGCAGCCCGGCGTCGCGCCGCTTCTCGTCGTAGGCCAGTCGTAAATCTCTCAGAATTAAATGGAGCTCGTTGACGTCCTCTCGAACCCTGACCGTCCGCTCATGATGCTCGTCCAATTCGCGTTCCTCGCGCTCGACGTTCTCCGCGAGGCACGTCCCTTTCTCCTTGTGGTGGGCGATTTCGTTAACCACCTCAGCGATTCTAATTTCGATTTGCCAACAAGCACTTAATAAAGCCCCCGTTCGAACAGATACATCGGTAGTAAATACATTCGTTGCCTCTCGAGTCGAAGATCTCTCACGCTGAAGCCGCGACACCGTAGATATCACTCCGGATAGTCCTACGCGAAGCGCGTAACAACGCGATCCGTAATAAAGTATCGCGCCAACGTGACAGAACGTGAAACTCGCGCTAAGTCGCGATGCTTTATCGAAATGATTGGATGAGAATGCTCGGGGAAACGAACCGTTCTCAGATACAATCGATTGCATTAAGGGTTCACGGAACCCTGACAGCAGTAAACATTAGGTCAAATGCGAACAATTGTAAAAAGTTGTAAATTGATAGGAATGTGAATTTCTTGTTAAATATGTCTATTAAGTACATTCAATAATATCTCAGTATAAAAAAATTAGATTTTATGCGGAATATTAACATCACTATAAAAATCGTTTCAATCCTGTTTTGCGAAAGAATGATATTTTAACGATAATTACGCGAACCTTAAAAAAAAGATCTGAAATCAGTATGAGCGACGGAATTTCGATTTTTTTAAAATAATTTTCTTATACTTAAAATAATAATAAGTAGTACGATCAGAACCCTATATTGATAATTCTGTTCATTTTCTTCAGAAAAATTTGTGAAAACTTTCTATTTTTCTACTATCTACACAGAGAGAACGATTTATTGAATCAAATAAATGTTTCTTTGGAATAGTCCAAACAAATTATTTGGTTGACACAACAAAAATATTTCTTTGGAACTAAGCCGCAAATAAATATTTTTGTTACTTCAAATAAAATTTTGTTCAATCAATCAAAAAATTCGTTTGGACTATTCCAAAGAAGCGTTTATTTGATTCAACTAAATCGTCCTCTCTCTATATATTAATCAGAACTTCTCTTTAAATACATCGCGGAAGTACAGGCGGCGGGGACGTTCTTCGAGCTAGTACCTTTGGCGCAATTTCTCCACTTCTCTCTCGCGTTCCTCCAACTTATCCTTGTAGCTCAGATGAGCTATATGCAGAGCCTCGTAATCCATAGTGGTCATTCCCTCGCCGAGCGTTTCCAGACTTCTCAGCTGCGTATTTATCTCCTCGAGACGCTGCTGCAGCACCGCGTACTGGTAACGATCGCGGGCGAGAGCCTCGCGTCGCGATGCCTGGCGAATGAAGAAGTTCTCACGTGAGCGTCTCGCTGCACGATCGAACGTGTATGTGTGTGTGTGTGTGTGTGTGTGTGTACGCACACAACCGCGGCCGGCTCTTTAATTGGTACGTCGCATAATTGCTGTAATAGACAAGTGATGATTCACGGTCATTAAGTTACACCTGCCGACGGGTTATCTCGTCGACAGCCTTCTCCGTGAGCTTTCGTCCGGTCTTCGCGTAAACGAGACCCGTCGCCACTTCCTTCTCGCGGTCCAGCAGTTCGCCGAACGTTCGCGCGCTCTCGTTGTCCATCGCCCGCACTTTGTCCTCGTGACTGCGCGTGTCGACGCGGGCGCGCTCCTTCCGCTCCGTCACGTCGTCGCGCCGCAGCTTATACGCGAACAGTGTTTGTCTATAAATCTGCTCCATTTGCTCCGGGTCTTTTGTCGCATACGTAGGTGTCACTTTCTCCTGCGTGCATACAAACGCGACGTACAGCGGTATACCTCCGCGCCGTGCCGTGCACGTGCGCGTATACCCGCTTAATTGCAACGCGATAGGCCGGCAGCGACAGAGAATGAAGGAATTAATTTACTGTAAACGCGCTCGGTGAATTAGGAAATGTTTGGCAAACAACTTGGTTGTTCTCGTCCGCTCGACCTTTTTCATGTCCCGGCTGATCCGCAGCTCGAGCAGCCTGTTCCTCTTTTGCAGCTCCGCATGCTCAGCCATCAGTTCCCGCAACTTTCTGATCATCTCCTCGCGACTGCCAAAAATCTGCACCATCAACATCGCATCAAATTGAGAATCAATGCTGAGTTATCCAATTCTTTAGGAGATCTTTCCCTTTTTAATAAACGCGCTGCAGTTATGACAGTTCGCCATCGTTGCATCTCGAGGAAAACACGTGGGAAAATTCATGGAAAGCCCTTTATTACCATTTCAATCGATCACAATGACGACGGAGTCGGTATGTGTACAATGCGGAAACACGTTGTGCGGAGGCGCGTAATGAGAGGGGAGGCTCGAGTCCTTAGGATATTACGAAGGTCGTGAGGCACAGTAATTCCACGGGTAGAATGATGGTGAATGACAAGTTTATGCGAACCTCGACTGGTATCTCGGCGAGCACGTGATCGGGCCCCACCACGTCTCGCACTTCCTCGTCGGACTTTTCCGCCGTGACGATTGTCGCAGAAGACGGCGCGCTCTTTCCCTCTTTCGTTTCCTCGTCCTCCAGACTCCGTTCTCCGTACAACCCCTCTCCATATCCTTCATGTCCTCGCAGTGCTTGGTCCCAGATAAGAGACTCAGTCCTTCCGTACACATCCTCTGCGATTTCTCTTTCCTTTTCTTCTTCTTGCTCTTGAGACTCTTTATTGTCCAACGCAAAATTTTCGCGATTTTCCGCGTTCGTTTCTGCGCTCGCGTCTAACCTTCTCCCGTTGTTCTGCAAAAGAAATTGCGCGTCACTGAATATTCTCACGGTGCCCGTGGGTCGAGCAAGTTACTTGGTCGGCGATGCCGTCTACATCGTCCTCGGTCGCTCGCTCCATCTCGTATATCGAGGCTCGGTTTAAATCGATAAATGTAAGCAGTCGCGCCCCGGGACGCGGAGCAGCGAGTGCCACGGGAGAAACGGGGCTGGATAACAGCTGCCAGACGATGAAAACAGTCGAACGAATTCACCGCGGCGCTGGATCGACGTCTTCGCGAGAAGGCCTCGAGCCGCATGCGGTCGACCTTGAAGATCGAAGATGATCTTTTCTCTCTCGTGTATGCGCGCCGCACTGCCGCGTTGGTTTAACCGCGCTCACGCTCTCTCTGTCTCTCTCTGTCTCTCTCTCTCTCTCTCTCTTTCTCTCTCTCCTCGGGACGCGCCGGTAGGAAAAGTTCTTCGCAGGACGTCGATTAAACTGCTGCGAGCTACCGGACACCGTCGGCGCGGATGCACAGTGCATCCTGCGGCGCGCAGGGTATGATTTCATCTCCGTGTGCTTTATTCTGCGCTGAGCCACTCTCCCCGCTGATGTATGAAAAGTTTATTTATGGGGGACGTGCCTCGTTCGATCACGCGAGGGGCCGCATGATGGCAGTAACATAGTGAGTTGAAACCCGAGTATCTTTCGTTCGCCGGACGTTAAAGCGAGGGGAATTAACAACGACACGGTACGTATGTAATTCGTCAGGAATGGAAGGGGGATGATGATGCAGCGTGCCGTCTCGCTATCGCGTTTCTTTTCGTTCGCCGCAGGAAAGCGCGTTTCTTCCGTCCCTCCCGCCTTCCATTTCTTTCGTTGCGGGGAGTATAACGAATGTATATAATTCACCGGTAGAGAGTGCAAACATTCGATGCAAATCGTTCCCGGACCGATTCCTATCTCCGTCTTCATGTAAGTGTCGACGAAGGTGACGTTACAGAATGACGAAGACGCGCGAGGAGACGCCGCATCGTATACCCGTCGATAGCGCCTCGCTCTTTATGCGCGGTCCTACCGGGATTAGATGCCATGAAAACAAAGAAAGAAGTACGGACAATGTGAGGAGAACGATGGATGGAGGGGAAGGGAGGGGAAGGAGGGAGGGTGACGAGACGGACGAGGAGAGGCACTTGAGGCAGCGTGGGCAGCCGCTGGCACTGCATTCCTGTAGGATCAAGGATCCCTGGCCAAGCTGCATGTGTGCATTTACATTTACGCACGCGCGCACGCGCGCACGTGTAAGGAGCTTTGAATTGCGACACGAACGCACGCACGCACGCACGCACGCACGCACGCACTACTGTTCGCGAACGTGTCACTCGAAAACGCGAACGCTCGCATAAAAAAATGCTCTGACGGTCGAAGCAAAACTGATCTAAATACGAGAAATCAGAGCTAAGGTGGATAAGTGACTAGCAAACACTGCGATATCGCATCTGTTTATATTTAATCAATGTAGATGACAGGGACAGAATGTCTGTCTGAACTGAGGTTTCATTTCTACTTGAAAGGTTCTATCGTCTTGCACAAATTGGCATATTTCACCCATCTTCCTTTGCCTGCAGATATTGCTAGAATGCTGCTGTAAATTCCACGTATCATAAGTAATTTTTTAGCAGATGCAAAAATAGCGATAAATTTTAAATTAGAATTCTACCTGAATCAGTAAAACATTTTTTGGTTTTTACGTAATGGCGTTTTCGCCTTTTGCACTTCGGTTGTCGGTATGCGTCACGTTCGTGTTTTTAACGTTGATTGCGCAAAATACGAAAGAATGTAAGTTAAATTAGATTAGGTGAAATTTTCGACTGCGCGCTATCATGCGAAGCAGTGACGTCGCACGACGTCGGCTGATAAAATTTCGAACCGAAACGAGAAGTAGCGACATCTATCGCGACACAAACGATTGGCGTCACGATCAAAATCAAAACGTGCGTATCACGCGTCAAACCTGCACTTCCCGTTCCGCAGAAAATGGGAGAACAGATTAATTTGCAGAGATACTTCTGCGTCTCCCGTAAACGTAAAGCGTAACGCGTATCGCCGTGCACGCGTACGTGAATGCGTACGTCACAGAGTTCCCGGGCTGCGTAGGGAAGGACATTCGTTCATCACGGTCGCACCAAGTAAGGGAATCGAGATAGCGTAAGAAAGCAGTATGCGGCGTGACGACTGACAAGCTGAAGACAGACGTGCCACGCGGAAGAGCCGCGGGAAGACACGTTGTTCGCGCAAATGTTGCAGGAATGTTCGCGGACTAAAGCCGCGGTCTATGTTTTTCCATTTGGGCTTACGCGCGTAAACACACACGTACACACATATGTATACAGGGTGTCTGATAATACATGACACATCCGTGCATAGAACTCATCAAACTGGACACCAGATCCCTCTACCATTTTGCAAACAAGGTAAAACTTAAAGTTATTAATTGAAAATGGTTGATTAATGACCACGCACGATATGATAGATGAGTTGCGACGGCGACATCTGCCGTTTGTGTGCTCGTACATTAAGTCAAACTAAACCAGAAGCCTTCTTTTGCAAGTGACCACGCAGATTTTTAGTTGTTAATTAAAGAAGCTTGGTGCATTATTGCGCACAATTATACACTGATTTTGTTTAATTAAAAACTAAGTATCTACGTGATACCATTGCAAAATGGCGGAGGACTTTTTCGTTCAGTCTGACTTGATATACAAGCACACGACGACGTGCACACGTGTGTATATACGCGTGTGTCTCTGTGTGTGTGCACATCAGGGTGTACCAATGTTATGTGTATGCCGGGCGTGTCCGGGCCGTTCGTTGGCCTTTCCTCGGATTTGATTTCCTTTCGAATCGCCGCGTATTCCCGACTCGTCCGTGCAAGCTGCAGCGATGGAAACTGGACTGACTAGCTTTAACGGCGCGCGTCTCAGCCTCGTGGCCGTGTGCGATGAGATGGCCGTACGTAACATCCACGTGAACGTGTGTACACGAAGGCGAGCGTCGGTCACACGCGCAAGCCGCCTGTACGTATGTGCTCGACGGTGGTGTGGGACATGCGCGTGTGTGCACGCGCGAGAGGGAGAGAATCCCTCGAGAATGCAAGCGCGTCGAATCGTCGTGCGTCAAATAGAACGCGACGAGGAGGAGCGCGGCAGCCTGCAGATACCATTGTGACCGGTTGCATAAACCCGCCATCTTGGTATCCTCAAGGACGCGCATCGAATCCTGAGGTCAACGCACTCGACTCACATCGGCCGCCCTCCACCCCCTCCTCCGCTTCGTCGTTGACTTCTTTTTCTCAACTTTTCCCCTCTCTCCCTTCTGCCTTACCTCCACTACATGCGTGGTGCCTCTCCCTCTCTCTCTCTCTCTCTCTCCCCCCTCTCTCTCTCCCCCTCTCTCTCTCCCC